TCCCCCCCGCACGGGCATGGCTGGTGTCCACAACAGGGGACTTCTCAAAGGTAAGCCTCCCCACCCCCCCTCCCCCTTCCCCCCCCTCACACCTCACCCACCCAACTAACTGCCCTCCTCCCCGCCCACAGGCCCGACCCGGACCGGGTACGATCGAACACGTGATGGGGCTGCGGCATCGATTCCTTCCAAGTATGAGACACTGCTGCTGGATGGAGCACGGGAGGCGGATGGGTTCAACTCGCGCTCGTTGCGCTTTGCTGAACTGGCCACAGATGGCCCGCCGACCTTGGCCTACTCGGCCCACGCCTCGCTCGAGTCGGCTTCGCCTTCCATCGGCGCAAAGGGCTACACCGGCGGCTTTGTCTCGCGGACTCGTCGCTTTGGCCGCGACTTTTCCGGCCGGACTCTTGCCCCCGGGCCCGGTGCCTACGATGTGGATGGCGCGGCTCGGAGGCTGGCCGCAAAGCGCGGGAGCCCGGCCTCGGCCGCTTTTGCTCCACGCCTGGCCGTCTTGCGGACCGACGAGCTGCGCGCTCGCAGATCACCGCAGCCAGGGCCGGGCGCGTACTCGGTGGACCTTCCCGAGCCGCGGTACAAGAAGAAGACAAGCGCAGCCTTTTCCCGCCCGGTGGGCCAGCGGCTCACTCCGTCTGGGTTCGAGGTCCCGGGCCCAGGCGCGTACAAGCCAGAGGCTCCGCATCAGGCTCCGCGCAAGCCGTTGCCATCGGCCGCCTTTGCCTCGGCCACGACCCGCTCGCCCGCGACTGCTGCGCCCTCAGCCGCTGCTTCGTTGTCAACTGCTGGCGCGTTGCAGTCGGCGTCGCCGCCGCCGCCCGGCCCGGGCTCGTACGACCCGTATCCCGAGGACACTGCGGCTGCTCGTGATGCCCGTGCTCACGCTGTCCGGCTTGTCGGCAGCCACGCCCTTGCTGCTCCTGTGGCCAAGCCTGTTCCCGGCTCGTCGCTCAAGCCGCACTTCCTCCACGACACCCGGGTCCGCTACTCGTCGCCGGCTGCCGCCGCCGCCGCTGCCCGTGCAGGCGTCACACCAGGCCCTGGTGAGTACGAGATTGGTGATATCGGCAAGGTCTCCAAGTACTTTAACCCACGCGCCGGCACCCAGCACCCGCCCACCCTTGACAGCTCGTTGATCTTTGCCGATTCTGCGAGTGCACCCGGGGTCCTACCCGCGCCCATTGCCACTGGCCGCTCACGCCCGCTCTCCCTTGCCGAGCGGCGAGTCCAGCTCCGGCGGTCAGCGCCGCGCCCAGCCGGCAATCTACCGTCAGCCGTCTCCGCGTCTGCGGCCGATGTCGCCAAGCCGCGCTGGCGATGACGATGGCGCGTGCCCTCAGCCGCATCTGCGCAACGTGTCATGTGCCACCTCACTCACTAGCCTTCAGATGGCTGCATGTAAACCGAGCAAGAGCGTGCGATGCATAGTGCTGCGCAAAGTGGAAGACGGCAAAGGCGAGAGGGACAGCGCGGCGTTCGAGCGCAAGTTTGCACCAGCCGAGGCGATGGTCGCGGCGAGCGAGCTGATGGCGAGTGCGGCCGCGGCGTTTGAGGTGGCCGAGTCTGATCTGGTGGCGGTGACGATGAGCCACGCTGCGCTCAACCACCGCGATGTGTGGATCATGGACGGCATGTACCCTGGCATTGTTCCTGGCTCAGTCCTCGGCGCTGACGGAGCCGGGCTTGTGACCAACGCCGACGGCGAGGCGGAGTCTACTCGTGTGGTCATCGAGCCAGGCGCCGGGTGGGCTTCGGCGCGAGCCGGGCCGACCGATGGACCGTACCGCATCCTCGGCCTGCTCCCGCTCCCGGGCACGCTCGCCAGCACGGTGTACGTGCCACAGCGGATGCTCCACCCTGTCCCGCCGCACCTCTCCATGTCCGCTGCCGCTGCTCTTCCGCTGGCGGGCGTGACCGCGTGGCGGGCGGTGGCGACCAAGGCCGGCCTTATCCCGCCCGGCGGGTCTTCGGCTGCGACTTGGTCGCCGCCGGCTGGCGAGGCCAAGCGGGTCCTTGTTACCGGCGCAGGCGGCGGAGTGGCCCAGATGGCGGTTCTCTTTGCCGTCGCCGCCGGGCACTCGGTCTGGGTCTCGTCGTCGAGCCAGGCCAAAATCGATGCGGCGGTGGCGGAGCTCGGGGCAGCCGGAGGCGTGCTCTACACCGAGCCCGAGTGGGCAGCGGAGCTGGTGGAGACGGCGGGTGGGAAGCCTTTTGATGTGGTCATCGATGGCGCCGGTGGTGAGGGCCTCAATGACTGCATCCGGACCGTCCTCGGCGTCGGCGGAGTGCTGGTCCACTACGGCGCGACTGCCGGCCGGCCGCGGTCGCTGGACACGGTCAGGCTCTTCCTCAAGCAGATCGAACTCCGGGGGACAACCATGGGCTCGTCCGCCGAGTTTGCAGACATGCTCGCCTTTGTGGCCCAACACGCTATCGTCCCGCCGGTCTCCTCGGTCACGCCGGTCACCGAGCTGCACTCGGCGTTTGCGACCATGGCCGCCGGCGGGCAGAGCGGCAAGCTGGTTATCGACCTCAGCCCCTGGACTGCACACAAGCTGTGATGTGGATGATGTTAATGATACACGTCGAAGGAATCAAAGGCGTACTGGGCGGCGATGTGGTGAGTGAGGAGAGCGACGACGGGTGCGTGGCCGCGGTCGGTCGCTGCGCGGAGCGGATAGTCAAAGCAGGCGCGGGCGTTGACGCATGGGTGGGCAAGCAGCCGGGCGACGACGGCCGCATGGCCATGCTCAGCAGCGGCGCGGATGGGCGTGTCGTCACATGCCCCCGGATCGACCGCCGGATGGGCGAGGAGGGTGTCGACGATCAACGCGCGCCCGAGCTCGGCGGCAGTGCAGATCGCGGCGTTGTTGTTGCGGGCCGGGTCCACACGCTCATCGGAGAGAAGGAGCTCCACAATATGGGCGTGGCCGTAGCGAATGGCGGCTGCGAGCGGCTCGCCATCGCAAGCCTCGGGATCGACCCGCTTGTCTGCGAGAAGTACGGCGACGACACCGGCGTGGCCCAACGCCGCCGCCTGGCGGAACGCAAAGTAGCAACCGTGAGCCGGATCGACGTCCTCGTGAGCCAGCAAATCGGGGACAATGCTCGCGTGGCCGGCTTCAGCAGCGACTACCAGCGGACACGGCTCAACGCCACGGCTGTGCGGAGCGAGAACAGCCGGGACGGCGAGCAGCTTGCGTACGAGCAGCGGGAAGAAGCTGGATCGGGCAGCGGTCATCTTGTTGGCGGCGAGCGTGTCGATGAGGGCGGCGAGGCAGGTTGGTGGTAGTGCGTGGTCCGACTCGAGAGCGCGCAGCGCAGCGCGGAACAGATCGCGGGCGGCACAAAAGGTGAGGCCGGCGGTGGCGTGGGCAGCAGCGCGGGCGTAGTCGGAGCCAAGCAGCACGCCATGCGTCCGCTTGCTCACCCGAGCCAAGGCGACGACATCGCGCGGACCGAGCACACGCGCTCCGTACGCAATTTCGTGGACTATCTCGCTCGGAAGGGCATCCATGCTGCGGCAGCCCACACGCTCGCGATGCGGGAGGACGGGACGAGCCGCAGAGTGAGGTCGCTCAAATGAACAAATTGGTGGTGAGTCTGCGGCTCGCGAGCCGGTCTTTCTCACGGCCATTGTTCGCGAAGGCTAAACGATGGCAGAGTACAAAAGGCAGGGGTTTACTCGGCCGGCAAGGAAGCGAAGACGAGAGTATCGGAGGGGTTACTACTTGGAGGTGGTCGATGCGCTGCTGTTGCTGGCGGCAGCGCTCTGGGCGCGGGCGGCAAAGCTGCCCTTGGACACAGATCCGCCGTTGGCGCGGGCGGTGGCGCTCTGGATCCGCGACGCGGCCGAGCGGGTCATGGCCGAGCGAGATGATCCGGTAGACTTGGGCATGTTGCTTTGCTGGTGTGGGAGTGGGTGGGTATGGATGCAACGGTAGCGTGGGAGCGCACGAGATTTCAATCCGGTTTTGTGGTGTCCGGCCGGGCTATTCCGAGGGCAGACCCTTTTTTTCAACTGAGGGCCAAAGGCAGAAGCTGTGTGGACAAAGGGCACTTGTTGTTGTCACTTGTGCATCGGTATGCTGTGGCGAGAGGCATCGACAACTTGCGCTCGTTTTCTAGCATGTTTACTGTCCTCCCGACTTGCCCTCCTAAAGCTGATCGAGCTGTAGGCCTGAGGAGATAGAGAGCAAGCCGATGGCATGCGAAAACTTGCTGTGCGACACTGCTCGACAGCGTGTGCGGAGCTCGTAGGTGCAGCAGCCTGATTGCGTTGCGAAAAAGCGAAGCTACAGTCAGAGTAGGTTGGTGATCAGGAGGAGAGAACCAACGGCAGCACCAACGGCAGCACAAATGTAGATGCTTGTGCTGAAGCAAGTGCTGTTGTCATCGACGTGGCTGACATGTTCCTGCCGAGAGTTTCGCATGGCGGCGCTCATAGCGCGGGCGGCAAAGCTGCCGGCGGACACACATCCGTTGTTTGCGAGGCAAGCCGCCCTGTAGATCCGCGACGCAGCTTTAATAGTCATGGGCTTGGGCATGATCTTGTTGTTGGATGTTGTTGAGAGCAGTGATGCCAGCTGTAGCGAGAGACTCGTCCCGCAGGAGGCTGTGGAGGCGATTTTTTCCGTCAATTGAGGGTACATCCTATTTTTCCTTCCAATGTGGTGTGTTGCAAGATGACGGTGACGCATGCGCTCAATACAGCAATGATCCCAATGTGTGTGGGTGTAGGAGGGGGGAGGGGGCGGGGTGGGGAGAGTGATTGAGGTGACTTTGACCTTTGACCTTACGATTAATTCTCCTTCAGTTAATCGTCTCTCCCCCTCCCGCCCCGCCACCACCCAACCAACGATTAATTCTCCTTCATTCGTCCCCTCCCACTTCACCCCCGCCCTCTCTCCATGACCTCGCTTACAAGCCAGATTCCGCTCGTGTCTGCCGACGAGTGGTACGAGTTCCTCGAGGCGGTGTATGCCGAAGACACCCGGCGACGGGAGGCCGAGACGGAAGAGCCTTTGGCGGTGGGAGCGGTGGGAGCGGTGGGCGACGGAGCGCTCGAGGCGTGGCTGGAGGTCATTGGCGGATACGTTCGGGAGGAGCTGGCGGCGGACGGCGGAGAGGCTGCGCGCGGACTGGCACCCGGCGAGACGGTCCTTCATCAAAGCATGGGGCTGTTTGGCGAGTGCGATGCCGGAAACTCGGTCCACATCGATGCGCTGCTCTTCCCGGATCCGGCCGATGCCTTGGCGGTTGTTCCGCCGGCGGCGGCGGGGTGGGCGTCGACTCGGCCGACGATCTGTTTGACGCCTCGCAGGCGGCGTACTACGAGTACGTCTGCGCTCACTGCCGCAGGGCAGACGGCGTCCGCGCGGTTCACATCATCTCCCACAGCCTCTCGCCGGCCGAGATCACCTCCATCGTGGCCTGGCTCGACGGGCAGTGGGCGGCGCTCGGCCTTCCGGACTCTGGCGCTCACCTCGTCGACGTTGGTTCGCGGTTCGGCGCCGTTGTTCTGGGCGCCGTCCGCGGGTTGAGCCATCGCGGCATCGAGGGCATCGGTGTCGAGGCCAATGCGTACTTTGCCGGGCTGGCTGGCCGGACGGCGGCGCGGTATGGGCTCGCCGACGCAGCGCGGTTTGTGGAGGCGCGGGCCGAGTCCGAGGCTGGGCTGGCTGAGCTAAGCAGCGCGTCGATTGCGGTCTTCAACAACGTCTTTCAGTTCTTTGTCCCGCGCGACGACCAGCCAGAGGTGTGGGAGACGGTGTCGAGCGCGCTCAAGCCTGGCACGCTTGTCCTCTCGCACCCATCGCTCGAGCTGGTCCTTGGCGAGCTGGGATGGAGCCCGGAGCGGCTCGCTGAGTGGGTTCGGCCGGTCGGGGTTATTAACGGCAGCGACGGTGACGACGACGATGACGAAGCCGAGATGACCCGCATGTATGCGTATGTGGTGTGCTAAGGAAGTTTAGGCAGGATTCAGTTGTACAGTGTCGACGACATGGACGCAGCCTCGACAAGCTCCTGGGTGCGCTTCTTGATAGTCGCCTGCAGCCAAGCCTCGACCTGGGCAAAGAAGTCTGCGGCGTCGCGCGGGAACTTTTTGGCGGTCCGCAGGGCGACGGCGTCGCCGAGCTCGAGCGATGCGCCGAGGTTGGTCGATGCAAAGTCTGCCGATTCCTGCGAGGCGTTGGAGAGCGAGCGCTCACGGAGGCGTGGCGATGATGTCTCGTCGCCGGCAGCCGCCGACGGCGGAGCGAGGGTCATGGCCGACGGGCCGCCTCTAGACGCCGCCTCGCTCTCGTCGCGGAGCTCGTGCTGGACGTGCAGAATGCAGACGCCACGCGGGCCGCCGTTCTCCTCGACAGCCGGCGACTTGCGGCCCGAGCCGCGGCGCTTCTCCTTGGGCACCGGGTACGCGTCGATGGCGACTTGGACAGCAAAGTCAAAGGCACGGGTCTTGAGGGCGTCGGTAAAGGCGACGAGCTCGTGGTACTCCTTCTTGGCGCGGGCCTCGAGCATGGTCATGTACTCGTCGATCGACGCCACGTGCTTGACAAGCAGCTCGGCCGGCACGTTGGCCTTGATGTACTCCCACACCACCTCTTGCTCCGACGCCATGGGCGCAAAGTCCTCGTCGCTCAGTAGATGCCGCTGCAGCTCCTTCTTGAACTCTTCCACAGGATCGCTCCACGCCGACGCCATGATGGCTGACTTTTCGTAGTTTGCCTTGGGATCAAAGACAAACGAAAAGGTAATGGTCCCCACCTTGGTCTGCCACGTCGTCGTATCGCCAAACACCTTTGTAAAGATCGGCCGGTTGGTATCGGTCGTCGCTGCAAACGCGTCATTCAGGTCCATCGACCTGCTGTTCCCCTGCAGCAGAAACTCCATGTCTGTCCCCCCTCTCACGTGGTTATTTCCCCCCCCCCCCCCCGCCGTGCGCCCTCCCTCATCCCGTGAGTCTTCCACGCCCGCCCCAGCGCACTGCAGCCATCCCACTCCCTCCACACACAGTAGGCGTGTACTAGTGCGAGGCATAAGGTAGCGTACTGTGGGTTCGACTCGGAATCAAAGACGGTGTGGTATGCACAGAAACGGTACATAGTCGGTCAGACGCGGCAGTTTTAAGGTGAGCAAGCGGGTGGCCCAAACTTATCCAGCTTGGCGTCAGCCCGATGCCATCATCGGTCGCCGCCATTGCGCGCTGGCAGCAAGCTGGATTGACGGCAGAACTCATACGGATACCACGGCATTGCTGGCGCCGAGAATGACGCGAGTGGATGGATCTGAGAAGACGGAGGTCGACTGGTAGAGGCTCTTGACGTCGGTGTTGGTCGAGTCCATGACGGTGAGGAGTGAGAGGAGCTCGCGGGTGCCCTCCGAGTCAGAGATGTTGAGGGCGGTGAGAACAGACTGGATGCCGGAGCCCTTGGCCTGCTCGCGGATGCGGAAGGCCTCTGCGTTGGCCTCTGCGCGGATGCGATCGGCCTCGGCGACAGCCGAGGTGCGGATGCGGTGGGCCTCTGCGGCTGCCGAGGTGTTGACGAGGGTGATGTTTGCCGAGATCTCGGCGCGGAGGCGATCGGTCTCCTTGACGACAAGGACACGGACCTGCTCGGCCTCCTGCTTGATGTTGACCTGGTTCTGAACGGCGGCGTTGAGCCAGGTCGAGCGAATCTGCGACGGGACAACCGCGCGACGGAGCTGAAAGTGCCTGCGGCCGCGGATCTCGACGCACGGCACATTGCCACAGAGAGAAGCAAGCTCGGAAGCGAGCGAGTTGTACATGGCGAGCTGGATCTCATCGCGGTTGGTCACGTACTGACGGAGCGAGTAGTTCGGCGCCACGTTCTTGAGAGCGCGCAGGCCGAGGGCGGCGATGCGCGAGTGGTACGAGGTCGGATAGAGCGAGTACAGCAGCGGGATCTGCTCCGGAATGATCCAGTACAGGTACGAGCACTCGATGGAAAACTCGATGCCCGAGTCGGTAAAGGCCAGAATGGTGCCTGATGGCGAGCCCTCCTTGTACACGATGGTGTTGAAGGTCCGCGGGTACTTGAGCTGGTCGTACCCGGTTCCAGTCCAGTAGCGGCCGTTGGAGTAGACCTTGTTGGTCTTGACGCCGGCGTTGTGCGGATGAACGCCGCGCATGAGGACGTACTCGTTCCACTCAACGTACTGGAAGCCGTTGGGAATGGTGGCGATGAGGATGAGGACGATGAGGGCAAAAAGGACGCACCCACAGGCGGCCCATCCGCGCCACGATGCATACCATGCCCGCTCCTTGCGCGCGACGGCGCTAGTCGTTCCGCCAGTCTCCATTTGCGCTACGGAAGCAGCGCCGGGAACGGCTGACGCGTTCTTGTAGCTGGGCGGGGCGACGGTCGAGTACGACGACGAGTGCTCCGCGGTCTGCGACGCAGGGAAGATGCCGAGCTGGACTGAGTCTCCACCGATCGAACCCTGTTGCTGCGACGACGACGACGACGACTCTGAGTCCGAGTAGAGGTATGTGGAGTAGTCAGAGTTTGCGCCGGATGACATGCAACGGCAGACAATTCAGGTGACGCCGCCGAGAAAAGGTCTCGAGAGCGCGCAAGCAGGTGTGCTGGGAGTGCACAAGACGAGTCAATGTCAAACCCAAGTAGCTCTGTCCTCCGAGTAGGTTCAGAACGAGGAAAGCCTGTAGTAGCGAGGTGTGATGTGGATAGTGGCGTATGCTGTGGCTCGCAAAAAGTTGGCGCTCGTTTTGTCGTGGGCCTCCAAAAATAGAACGGTATTCTGAGAATCAGCCCGATGGCGACAAAAAGGCGCGCCTTTTTTCACAACGCTCGGCCCGACTCGCTCGCAACATACTCCAAGCAGGCGCCCGACCTCGAGACAACACCTCTCACACATACACACGCTCATACCACTCGACGCAAGAAGTTCTGGACTTGACCTCCGTGGCCTCTGTACACGTTGACATCATGACGATGAAGAGGATTGTGCTCTCCTCGGGCTGCTGCTGCTTTGTTCTGTTTGCTATTATTCTCACGGCCGTGCTGCTGGCCAAATCGCACGTGGAGCTCGGGCCGAACTTGTACGGCTTGCGGTACGGTGGGTACAACAACAAGGTGTACTCTAAGATCTACAACAAGAACGCCAAGTACTGGCTCTCGCCTGAGGACGAGTTCATCACGTTCCCGTCGACGGCGGTGACCATCGACCACACGTCGCTCGAGTGCTTCACCTCGGATCGGGTCAATCTCGATCTCACGCTCTCGTTCCAGTACTCGATCGCCAAGAACTCGCTGGTGGAGATGCTGTTCCGCTACGGCGAGTTCAGCCAGCTCAACGGGTTCATTTACATCCTGACACGCGACTCGATCCGCGACGTCTGTGCCCTGTACACCTACGACCAGTTCTACACCACCCGCGGGACGATTGAGACGGCAATGCGGAACAAGGTAGCCTCTGACATGGAGGAGTTCTCAGGCAATCTCGACGTCGGTGCGCTGCAGCTGCAGAACGTGCACCTCCCGCAGGCGCTCTCGGACGCCATCGAGGAGAAGGAAGACGCGGTGCAGTCGGTGGTCAACGCCGAGAACGCGCGGGCCCAGGTGCTCATCCAGGCCGACACCGACTACAAGACGGCGCTACAGGACAAGGAGATTTCGCTGATCTCGGCCGAGGCCGACGCCCAGGCCGCAGCCATCACGGCGTCGCAGAACGCGGTGCTGATCAAGGTCCAGGCCGACCAGAAGGCTGCGGCCGAGCGGGCCAAGCTCGAGGAGCGGGCAGCAGCATTTGCCTTTGTCGCCTCTCAGCTCGGCCTCAACGGAACCGATGTCATTCCTGCGCTCCGCTATCTGGTCAACACCGGCGGCGTGTAGCTGATTGAACAACTGACGCCGATCGGGAGCTTCGAATGGAAGCGCATCGAAGTCGTCCAGGGGACAAACTTGGCGGAGTTGGGTGACACAGGTTGTTCCATTCAGACTCATTATTCCATCCGGTTCAAGCAGAGCCATGCCGTGACAAAACCGCGCCGACTTGACGCTCAAAGCAGCTCAGCACTGATGGCATCAGACAACCTGCAGCAGGTATTGCCTTAAGAGGAAGTCACACGGACGTCTCGCAGCGACTTTGATTTATCAATGAAGCACAAGAAGAACAAGTCGCAGCCACGCAAGCCCCGAAGCCGAAGCGGCGGCGGTAGCTCAAACCAAGGCGCTCCCCCGACAAGTTCGCAGACAACATCGACGAGCGTGGATCAGGGCCGGAGACGAGGACGAGGACGAGGACGAGGACGAGGGCGAGGAAGCGGAGATCTGGGGGCCGCAACAGCGCCGACCAGCTTGGAGAGCACGCTGGAGATGATTGGCTTTGCCGCGATTCCCGACGATGCAGAGTGCGTGCTCCTGTCGGGCGGAGCACCTGGTGCGGATGCCGTGTTTGACGAGGTGGTGCGGTGTGCGTTGCCTGATACCAGCGTTTGCATCCATTGGTCGTTCGCGGAGCACAGGAGGGAATACGCAGCCGACCCTGCCGGCCGCGTCGAGATTTGGGACGAGCTTGCGGGCGCTGTGGGCGATGCGCGACTGCAGATCGCGGCATCCGGCCTCGGCCAGCGGGTGCCTCGGAAGACGAGCCGCGCTCTCAAGTTCTTCCGCCGCAACGTCTTCCAGGTCCTCTGGGCCGATGCTGTGTACGCGGTGACTTGGAGTGATCCCAAGGCGCGCTACCCAATCGAGGTCGGCGGCGGAACCAAGTGGGCTCTGCAGGCGTATATCGACCGGTTTGCCCCGATCGGCAGCGAGCCTGCCGACGAGTGCCAACTCTACCTGTACGAGGTCAACTCGCGCGAGTGGCGGCGATGGCGGCAGGTGGATCAGGTCTGGGAGGCGATGGCCGATCTGCCGCCGTCACCGCTTGACACACCCGGCTTGCGGTTTGCCGGCATCGGCACGCAGACGATGCCGCCGCATGCAGTCGCTGCCGTCTACGATCTGTTCCGTCTCACCGCGCCCGACCTTGACCACTAAACCTCCTCCTCCTCATCCCCCCCCTGCCCGACTCACCTCCACCTCCTCGATCCCCTCCCCTCTCCCCTCCCGCATCACCCAATCCTCCCCCTCCTCCCCCCCGACTCCATCCATAGCCATCAGCCAACAACCATCAGCCAACAACCATCAGCCATCAGCCCCCTCCACCCACCTCCACCTCGATCCCCTCCCCTCCCCACCCCACCCCACCCCACCCCACCCCCATCCCCATCCCCCAACTTGGATTGACAATCCCCCATCCACCCCCCCCCCCCCC